TTTTTCTATTAAGGGGACTTCATTTAGAGTGCCAGAGGTTGGCTTATTATTTAACAAGTTACTATATGCATATATTTTTCCAAATATAGCCACATTTGAACACATGGGCTATTTTGTTTACCCAGAGTTTAAAATGTAGTTGAATGTGTTCTTACATTCCTTAATATAAAAGTCGGGATTTGTAGTAAGCCATTTAGCACCCAGAGCAGAGGATTAACTTAATGAGAGTTGCGTGTCCAGGTGAGCAGTGTAACCACAAAGATCAGCATCTTATTCCACCCCTAGGCTTGCAACTCTAGTCACCTTGCTTAATGTTCAAGAGTATTGGGCAGAAGATTCAACAGGGACATTACAAACAGGGAAAGTGCCTGCTCTGTACAGATGAGAGGAAGCCTGCATCCAGTGCGCATCCCTGTGACATCCATGGCAACAGTGGCCTTCATTTTCTATAATGGTTACAATGAGAACATTTACTTCTTACTTGGAGATGTGCCTGTGAGTCCTCAGCAAATACAAATGAACAGGACACATTTTGAAAGGCGACATGCTCTTTTCAAATCAGTTGCCAACAACTGCTAATCTGCCGTTTAGTAAACCTTTGCTGTTAATACCAGCATATTTTTTTCTATGCTGAGCTCCTAGAGGGGAAGATGGTCATGCCCACAAGCTATTTATGTGGCTCTACTTATATTCTGCCTTTAAAATCTTCTGTAGAAAGGGTCCCTCTTATACCAGTAGCTCCTTGTGGGATGGCCCCTATCTCCATTGCTTTGTTTACATTTTTTTCTTTCATTTGGAAGGATGCCAAGTATCCAATGAAATAGAAAAATACTAATACCAGAATACTACTGCAAAATGGAGCCTGTGAGCTCTAGGGTCTCATTTCCTTCCCTTCAGATGAGAACACTAGGACCCAGAGGGCCACGCAGCTCCATTGAGCAAAACGTCTTGGTATACAAAACACTGCTCTGGCCACCAATACCTGAATCCTCCCTTCATATTTACTTGTGGTAGGTCCATGTGGATCAGTTCTTTTATGTAAAAAGAGAATCCTATGTGGTTTTCCAAATTTTACAAGAAGTTCTCCCATTTTTTTTTTCAGGTAGTTCTTTTGACCTCCTGGAATGTCAGGACAGATGTGGAGCCTGGAGTAATATCAAAGACACATAGCTAGGAAATTGTAGTTAGTGCCTGAGCTTATGTTACTTTCCTCAATGCCAGAGGAGAACATGATATTTCTTTGCTGTAGAATGGGCCTTTGACGATTGCTCGAGTCATGGTAAGATACTGCAAAGCTTCAGACACCAAGAGATGCTGAAAGACTGCATGTGAGAAAACCAATCTAGTCTGACTACAGACATGTACTACATGAAGTGAGGGTGGGTGTGTACCTACTGTCCCTGATGCGACCCCCAAATATTTCTTGGAAATGCCGAATTGAGTCAAAATAAGACAGGGAGAAAGAGTCATGGAGACTCTTCACAGAACGTGAAGCAAGAATTGTAGTTCAGAACTTTAAGCCTGAGTAAGTCCAAAACTATGATGGACAAAAGTATAGGGAGTTAATGTTGATCCTCAGACAATTCTAAATCCAAGCCATAGACTAGAAGTCTAGGATAGGACAGCTGTAGGGAGACCCATAGCAAATAAAATGGAAGCTCGAATGGAAAGGATCTGGATGTCTCTCTAGTCTTGAAAAGAATGCAAAAGCTGTGTCCACCTTTTCACAAGAAAGACAAAACAAAACCACCACTCATGGTGTCATAGACCTCCACAGTGTTTCTTTCAATAACAGCTCGCCTGGGGATATTCTGCATCTCATAAGGTCACTTACGAGGTCAGGTAGAGGGTAGCAAAGCCTCCTAGAAATGGAATGGGAAGTAGAGAAAGAGTAAGATGTAAAAAGATACATGTCACAGACATGTATCCGCATGATGGAGACAATCCACGTATGCATACTCTTGATACACAATGAGCACAGCTTTAGGAACACAAGTTTGAGCGGCAGAAGGAGCTAAAGGAGAATACATTTGAGATTACTGGGGACCTTGCTCAAGCCCTGGCTGAACTTTAAGGACTGAGAGATGAGGGGCACTGAGAGAGATTATGTCTAATACCTGCCACAGAGCCTACCAATTACTCGAAACCCATGACAACAAATGATCTCTTTAAAGGTCCTCCGCATCTCCTGGCTGCGGAAGGCGTAGATCAGAGGATCAATCACCGAGTTACACATGATGAGTATCAGGTACATATTGAAGTACGACATAAAGCAGGAGCAATAGACATTCTGGGGGCATGAGATCATCAAGATAAGGTGGAGGAAGAAGGGAGACCAGCACACAATAAAAACCCCCAGCAGCATGGTGAGGGTAATGGCACCCTTCATGCTGGCCCTTTGCCTCACAGAACTATATCGGGGGGATGCTGCTATGCGCTTGACATGGTTGCGTGCCAGGAGGAACATGTGTATGTAGAGAGACACCATGAAGAACAGCATGGTGAAGAACATGGAGATGAGGCAAATGATGACATACTTGGATTCATAGTAGATGATGAAAATGATGCCGCAGCTTATGCAAAAGGTCCATATGCAGGCGATAATCACCCCCGAGCGCCTGGCCGTCATGATGTGGTGGTAGCGCAAGGCGTAGAAGATGGTGACATACCTGTCCACGGCAATGGCCAGCAAACTGCACATGGAGGCCACAACAGAAATGCAGATTGCGGAGTCAAACACGTTGTCAATGTGACGTATGAAGGTGTCCGTTATCACCAGATGTTTGTTATTTATCAAGTATATGGCGATGGTCTCCCAGGCGTTGGACATGCTCACCAGCATGTCAGCGACTGCTAAACTGCCCACAAAAAAGTACATAGGCGAGTGCAGGTTTTTGTTTTTCACTATGGCCCCAATGACCAGGATGTTCTCCAAGAGGCCGACAAGCCCCAGAGTCAGGAACACCTCCACGGCGATGCCCATGTCCCCACAGGCTGAAGACACGTTCCTGACATTTGGTCCTAAAATGTCCTCTGTGGCATTCGGAGTCAGATTCAAGAAATGCCATTGAAACGAGGAGTTCATGGCTGGAAGATAATGCCTCCACGTCTTGGCATCAAATGTACTGTAAGACAGATTTGTTTGCTGTTGTGTTATTCTGGTCTCGAGAGCATAAGAGTACACACCCACACAGGTCATGCTCACACACCAAAAGCGAGTCAAATGCCGAAGTGGGTGGTTAGACACAACGTATTGAAAATCAGACCCCAGTTTGCCTCGTTCTGACGTGTGCTCCTGGTACCTGGAATTCTGTCCTCTCACACACAGCTTAATGTTTTCACAGGCCTCTCTTTCTGTTTACTCATATTCTATCACTCTCGGGTTACAAGAATGGCTTCCATTTCTATGCCAAGGGCAGCTTCTCTTTCCATGTCTCATCTCTTGGCCCCCAAGTTCCCTCTCAGGGCATCTCCATGAACCCTATCAAAACTCCATAAACGTTCTAGTCAGTGTCCAGATTTTCACATTGCTGGGGCTGCTGCGTCATATTTCGCTCGAGCGAGCCCAGATTTCTGAAGAACATACAAACATTCCCCTAAGAAGAGCAGATATATCTGTGTTCTTATCACTAACCAGAGCTCTCCTCAAAATCCCAATGCATACTCTTTCAGGGTTGCAACAGACAGCAGCAATGGCTGCTTAGCTTGAGAAGAAACACAGAGTTGCTCCCTCGATACATAAGCTTCCTTTACAGTATGTTAAATAGAGAAAAACAACAGGACTTTCCCTCAATACGTATTTTCTTTAAATTCTGAAAAATCTGAATTTCATTGGATCTGACTGCTAATTTTATGTCCCACATAAGCACAGTATGAAGAAATAACTGTGAAATGTTAGAACAAAGCAGCCTCAGAGAGCCATTGTATTAACAATAAGGTAAGCCTTTAGGATTGTAATCCTTTGCAATACGTTTACACCTCAAAGGTATAGACCCATCCTCCTGTTGCTTTAAACATCACATCCAGCTGCCTCAAGATCTCACTGCACAAACTGGCTCACCCATTCTGCTCTCCTCCATGCAAAGGTAAGCATGATTCCTCACTTTTTCCAGGCGGTTTCTGAGAAATAGAGTTGTGTCTGTTTACCGGGCTCTGGTCTCGCATCCCAGCCAGGCGCCCTCACTGGATGCTTCACTCTGCATGAGCTCTTGATATCCACCTGGGCGGACCTCGGTAAGAAAGCAAGGCCATCCCCAGGACGCAGTCTCCTCCCAACTTAACCTAGCACCTCACCACTCTGCCTTTTAACAACCTCCTCCCGCCCCACTGGCGGCCTTTCTGACCTATTGGGTTCAGGTATCCAGCAACTTGCTGCCACCAGCAAGGCAGTCTAGGAGTCGTGTTTACAGTGCCACCTAGTGGTTCACCACAACCCTTAGCTCTGCGGTGCTTCCAGTGTGACAAATCTTTTCCCCTAGGGGCACACAGATGGATTTTTTTTTTTTTTCCCGGCTAATGAATCTCTTTGCCTATCCCTCTCTCTTCCTCTAAGTAACTGATTAAAATTCTGCCCAGCTCCAAGGACCTGATCTGCTCTGTTCTTTGTCTTTCTGAGACAAAGTGGCTCACCGGTATGCCTGCTAATTGTTCTTTGGAAAAGTCAGAGCCTGGAAGACTGGTGAGACTGGGCTACTTGGCTACTCACACACACAAACACCTCTCTCTCTCTCTCTCTCTCTCTCTCTCTCTCTCTCTCTCTCTCTC